TTCTCATAGCGACAGAAAAACTGAACCTGATAGGTTGGTAGTGAAAAGTGGGTAACGCATGCTCTGGATAGGTGTTTTATCAGGTAATGTGTTGATAGAATTGTTGTACTACTAATCTAGACGACCTCCAAGCTTTTCAACGGGATTTTAAATAGAAGATCAGGGCACACCTACGGTTAACTGAACGATATCGATCACTTCTAAGTCTCTCTAAACGTGCATTCAGCTCCGTTTAATCCGCACTCAGATTAAACTCTTCCTTCTCTCTTGCCTTCGTTTAAAAGCTGATCGGTACCGAGCTAACAAAAAAAATTGCTGATGATTTGGAATCCTCCGCCGATCCACCCGAACTATCCTCATCCGCTACACCCTGGTGGTCAGTCATCCAACGCACTGCTCGTGTGGTAGGTATTATTCATGCCCTAAATCCTCGGGCTTGTATGGGACGACTTGTACTACCTATTCGGAAAAAGAGTGATCAAACTAATGATTCAACGGCCAACGATGTAAATAACACTCCAACCGCAAACAGTTCAAACTGGTCATTTGCCAACCTAGTCCATTCGGATACTCGTGTCCCCCGAATCCTCATCCCGCGAAGCGCGTGCCCTGAGGGTGAGTGATTTTTCCTCAATCATTCTAGTTGCTTTTGCCTCGTTGTTGTTCAACTGATATGAGATCAATTCATGTGGCCACTCGCTATTGACTGTTCACTTGGTAGCTCAAGAGGGTTCAAGGTTCCAGCTCCAAACTTCAGACTTCGCTTTGGGGACACTCAATGTTCGCATTGTTGGCAGGTCTCATCAATGCGCACAGAAACATGTGTCCGGCGCCCTATGTTGGTAATCAAAAATGTCCATCGCAAGTGAAGTACATATAACGTGCGAGATTCAGATTGTCTTTGGTCGGAGACTCCGCGAGATACGGCATCGTACCGAAGTCAGTGGCCTGAATGCACTCTTTTCTGTGTCCAACCTCCAAATTAAACAAACAAACAAACAAAACTCAAAATTGTGTGCAATGAAAAAGCAAAGGATTATTTTGGCATCCCCACAATTAACTGCTCTTCCCCCCCCCCTTGTTCTGTTCTGTAATTCACTTTCAACTCATGGTTATGTTGGCGCCGTATTTGTGAAGATTATATATATATATATATCAACTCACGCATAGATCCTGCCTACGCTTGTGATGCGCACGTGGAGAGTGCTATCGATGTGGCTCCGTATCTCAACTGATAGAGCGTGCACTTTCAAAAGCGTAGGCAGTGTCTATGCGTAGATTCCAATCCCATCAAGCTGAAGATCTAATCATGCCTGGAAGGTCGAAAGATAGAGGTCGGACGAAATCCAGTCTGCTGATCCTCCAGGTTGGGGGTTCGACTAGAATTTGCGTTTTAGTCGGTAAAAAATGTTGGAGGAGTAATTGGTACAAGTAAATGGGCCTTCACTTCGCTTCAGCCGCTGCCTTGCGGCTAGGTTCTTGTCAGAACTAAATGTTTTGGTTGATAATCCTAATCGTTCTTCTGCTTAGTGGCTGGACACCCTGGCAGTACCCATCCATCAAAACCCAATGCATATGCTTTACGAGTTAGGCAGCGATCAGTGAAGTTCGCTTCTCTGTATTCCGCTGTACGATGATGATGATGATTTCGCAAGAGGAATTATCAGTATTGCACATTGGAGAACAAACACAGTCTTGGTAGTCGCGGCCCAATGGTGAACACCCAAACGATGGACCGAGAACCCCCAAGCGTTCCTTTCCCCATACGAATTTGTTCGCGGATCATCGTCTGTTCCTATCTAGCACCAACTTCCGACGCACCTCTCGACGAACGGCTACGTGGGGCCCCAGTTCAACTGGTACGTTAACTCAAATCGATCACATAGCAGTAAGCTACTGTTGGCCTGGCTCAGTGCAGAATTGCAGGTCCTATTGGACCACATGCGTTGTGTCTAACCACGCATTAGTTTTGAGGGAGTTCACTCTCCGACTGACTGGCCGGCGACAAAACCAGCAAACTCGGATAGCTCATCATCAACTATNCTGTTCCAGCAGTTCGTGTTCACCATGAATCAGAGCTAGTACGTGGGCTAAGCGCACCTAATCCTGATGATGTAGATGAGCAATGGGATCAGATTAGGCGAACAATGTATTCCGCAGCGAGTGTTGCTTGTGGGTCTGATCCTCAATCCCGTCGGAGGCATTGGATATCTCAGGAGCCAGTAGTTTTGATGGAGAAAAAACTAAAAGTCCCGACCTACTATGATCAAAACAGAGTTATTTGGCATCCACAACGTCAGCCCAC